GGTATTCACCAAAGAGAAGGAATTGTTGGAGGATGATCTCGAAAGGGACTGTCGAGTTTCTAAGCCAAGTTGCTATTAAAAAGGAAGAGGTGTTGTGTGTCTTAAAAAGTATTAAGGTAGATAAGTCCCTGGGTCCTGATGGGATCTATCCTAGAATATTGAGGGGGACAAGCGAATAAATTGATGGAGCATTGACAGACATCTTTGTATCCTCTTTGGCCACAGGTGAGGTCCCAGAAGGGTAGCAGAGATAATACAGGAAATTATAGGCCCTTGAGTCTCACGTTGGTGGTAGGGAAGTTGTTGGAAAAGATTCTCAGGAACAGGATCTATCTGCATTTAGAAGCGAATGGACTTACTAACAATAGGTGTGTGGGAGAGATCATGTCTCACTAACTTGATTGAGTTTTTGCAGAAGGTGACGAAGATGATTGATGAGAGAAAAGCGGTTGTTGTAGTCTACATGGACTTCAGGAAAGGTTCTGACAAGGTCTCTCATGTCAGACTGGTATAAAAGGTGAAGTCATATGGTATCAGGGTGAATTGGCAAGATGGATACAGAACTGGCTTAGTCATAAGAGACAGATGGTAATGGTAGAAAGATGCTTTTCAGAATGAAGGCTTGTGACTAGTGGTGCTCTACAGGGATCAGTGCTGGGACCTCTGCTGTTCATGGTCTACATAAATGATTTGGAGGAAAAAGTGGCAGGTCTGATTAGTAAGTTTGCAGATGATACAAAGATTGTTGGAGTTGCGTATAGTGAGGAGGATTGTCAGAGGATGCAACAGGATATAGATCATTTGGAGGAATGGGCAGAAAAATGGCAAATGGAGTTTAATCTGGACAAATGTGAGGTGATGCATTTTGGAAGGTCAAGTACAGGTCGAAATTATACAGTGAATGGCAAAGCCCTTAGGAGTATTGATGTGCAGAGGGATCTGGGTGCATAGGTCCACAGATCACCGAAGGTGGTAGTGCATGTAGATAAGGTAATAAAAAAGGCCTATGACATGCTTGCCTTCATTGGAAGGGGCATTGAGTATAAGGATAGACAAGTTATGCTGCAGCTTTATAGAACTTTGGCAGCATGGTGATTCAGAGGCTAGCATTGCTGCCTCACAGCGCCAGGGACCCAGGTTCAATTCCACCCTCGGGCAACTGTCTGTGTGGAGTTTGCACATTCTCCCTGCGTCTGCGTGGGTTTCCTCTGGGTGCTCTGGTTTCCGCCCACAGTCCAAAGACGTGCAGGCTACGTGGATTGGCCATGCTCCATTGCCCGTAGTGTCCAGGGATGTGTAGGTTAGGTGGGTTATAGGTACGAAGGGGTTGGGGTGGAATGCGTTGAGGATCTGTGTGGACTTGTTGGGCCAAAGAGCCTGTTTCCACACTGTAGGGATTCTATGAAACTTTGGAATATTGTGTACAGTTCTGGTCACCATACTACCAGAAGGATGGAGAGGGTACAGAAAAGGTTTACCAGGATGTTGCCTGGTATGGGGGAATTTTAGCAATTAAGAATGGTTGGATAGACTGGGCTTATTTTCGCTGGAATGCAGGAGGTGACCTGATAGAAGTTTATAAGATTTTGAATGGCATGGATAGAGTGGAAAGCGTGAGGTGTTTTCCCAGGGTGGAGGAGTCAATTATTAGCAAACACAGGTTCAAGGTGCAGGAGGGGAAGAGGTGTGCAAGGCACATCTTTCACACAAAGGGTGGTGAGTGCTTGGAACGTGCTGCCAGAGGAGGTGGTGGAAACAGTCACAATAGCAGCATTAAAGAAGCATCTGGACAAAAACATGAATAGGAAGGGAATAGACGGATACAGATCCTGTAAGCAAAGGCAGTTTTAGGGGTATGGAAAGGCAAAATGTGTCAGCACAGGCTTGGGGGACTGAACAGCCTGTTCCTGTGCTCTTTGTTCTATAATTGGCTTCTGGCTAACCCCTTCACTGAGTACTTCCTTCACTTGTTTTTATTTTGGACATGCATTTTACTGACAATTTCTCTCTCCGCATTTTAAGAGAGACGTTTCATTTCAGGTATATGAGATTTGAGGATCATTTCTGTTGGCAGCTCTGCTTATACTTCAGTAGATCGCTCTGTACTTCCATTCATTGAAACATAGAAGGCCATTCAGCCCAATGTAGCCATGCTGAAAAAATATTTAATTATTTATCCAACCATGGAGAAAAATCACCAGCATGTACAGGTTCGCAGAGTGGAGTTTTCGGTGTGTGTTATCCTGTAGAACTCTACCTGCAAAGGAGAGGCAAAGGTTAATGGATAGCAGTTTATCACATGCTGCAGTGGGGTATCAAATTAATTATGTCAATTTGCTGTCTGAAGTTTACTGCTGAAAAAGATAGTCTTGAGAATAGTTACACTTCAGAATGGTGTACAGAATAGTAAAATTGATACAGGCGTTCATTTTGCTTTCATTCTGAGGATTTGGGTATCACTAATTTACTAGCCAGCACCAGTTGCCCTTGAGAAGGTGGTAGTGAGCTGCCTTCTCGAACCGCTGCAGTCTGTGTGCTGTAGGTAGACCCACAATGCCATTAGGGAGGGAATTTTGATCCAACAATAATGAAGAAACAGTGGTATATTTCCAAGTCAGGACGGTGAGTAGTTTGGAGGGAACTAGCAGGATGTGGTATTCCGATGTATCTAGACGGTCAAGCTGTACGGAGCTATCAAAGGAGCTTGGGTCACATGGCTGGTGGAGGTTAGTGCAGAGAGGTGTGAAAGAATGCATTTTGTGAGGTCCATAATGGGGAGGACTGTATCTATATGTATAAAGAAATGGATCAAATTGGAAAGTGCAGATGAGCAGAGATGTTCTGGTATCCAGGCATACAAATAGATTCATAGAGATGTACAGATGAAGGGAAACAGACCCTTTGGTCCAACTTGTACATGCTGACCAGATATCCTAAATTTATCTAGCCCCATTTACTAGCATTTGGCCCATATCCTTCTAAACCCTTCCTGTTCACGTACCCATCCAGATGCCTTGAAATCTTAAAAAGATGTAAGAGCAAGTTGATTAGCCGCTTAAAGAAGCACCTGGGTTTATAAAGAGAGGAATAGAAATATAAAGCCAAAGCTCCCTCCAAGCCATTCACCATTCTGACTTGGAACTATGTCCTGGAAGATTAATGTTCGAACTTTATAAATCACTGGTGAGGCCTCAGCTGGAATTATTGTGGACAGTACTGGGATTCACAATTTCTGAGCTACAGATGAATCCTCCTGGAATGCTTTACAGAGGATAAGGACCATCAATTTGGGTGGGAGGGGGAGGGGTGGGATTTGGACTGTTGTCCAGGAAACAGGAAAGTTACAGGAAACCTTTGAGATGATGAGGTTTCAATAGAGCATGTGATGAGAAATTAATCCCTTTGGTGAGTGGGTGAGTCATAGTTACCATTGACTTAAAATCATTGGGAAAGGATGCATGGAGAGATGAGGAGAAATGTTTCCACCCAGAGTTTAAGATCTTCAATGCACATTTTGAAAAGGTGCTGAAAGTATTCTGCTTTATTTTATCCATGAAGGCTTGTTTTTAGTTAAAAGAGGTTTTAAAAATAAATAATTAGAAAAATTAAGTCAGCTATACAATCAGATGGTGCTTAGAGCAATGAGTTTGAATAGGTATTTGGCAATTAACCTGCTCAGAGATTATCACACATTTCTGGAGCAGGTGAGACTTGAACCTTGGCCTCCTGGCTTAGAGGTACCGGGCACTACCACAACAGCACTTGCAATGAGTTTTAATAAGCTATCTCACAGCAGACACCTCTTTGTGAATTCCCAGTTTTGAGGCATGGGGGCAGAAGATAGAAGGTGAATACTCTCGCTTTTCCCAATGTCACTGTTGAAAAGGATGCCCTCTTTGTAGAGAGGCTAGTGGTCAAAGAAGAGCTTTTTCAGATTTAGTGCACAATGTGGTGCAGTACTTGGGAAACGGATAATAATGACCCATAAAGAACTAGATACTTGGCAAAATCCAACTACACAGGCATGAAGCCCACATGTTTCCTTATTTCGCTGCCCTTTGGAGTTTTCTTATCAATGGTTCCAATCTGACAGATTGCCCCAAGTCACTAATCGTACAATATTTTGTTTATTTTGCCTGTAAACCTAACTATGAGAAGGGGAAGGTCAGCAGTCTCACGGGAACTCCCCAATCTCACCTCCAATTTTCACATACCATCCCAATTCGGTGATATATACCGTCCCTTAGCCTTCATCACAATGGATCACAATCCTACAAAGTCCCATTTAACTGCACCATGTTGCTCCTTCAGCACATGGACTGTGGTGGTTCAAGAAAGCATCTCACCCACCACCTTCTCAAAGGGAACCAGGGGTGGGAGATGAATGTTGGCCTTGCTGGTGACACATGTCAAAGAAACAACTTTTTTTTAAAAAATCTACCAAAAATGAACAGGGTGAACATTTTGAGATTGTAAGAACTGCCAATGCTGGAGTCAGAGATAACACAGTGTGGAGCTGGAGGAGCACAGCAGGCCAGGCAGCATCAGAGGAACAAGAAAGCCGATGTTTTGGTTCGGGACCCTTCTTCAGAAAAGTCCTGACCCGAAACATCAGATTTCCTGCTCCTCTGATGCTGCCTGGCCTGCTGTGTTCCTCCAGCTCCACACGGTGTTACAGGTGAACATTTTGAACTGTGGTATGTGTTACAGATGTTTGAACTCAGATCCTATTGCAATTCAAATACCTGAAAATAAATAAATTCCATTTATATTGCATTTTTCAGAGCATCAGGGCATCCCAAAGTGCTGCAAAGCTATTTCTAAAGTATAGTCACTGTTGAAATGTAATATCAGAGGGTATATTTCTCCATGGAAAAACTTGAAACTTTTCTTCAAATACTCACCCAATGAAGCTGAATAAACGTCAATTACTTTTTGGTTATTACTGAGACAGAAAATCATCTGATCTGAACAGATTAATACAGTTTAATCTCAAGAAATTAAAATACATCATATACTTTATTTAATATGAAACAATCAATCATTATCCCACTGACACAAAATTGACTTTCAACAAATTACAATCCAGTCAGTTCTGACCCGTATTTCCATTTTCATAGCTCTATAGTTTTACAGTTTGATTTTTTTTAGAAAAAGGATGGGATTCATACAGACCATATTAACAAAGTGAATGAGATCTTATCTGTAACGACCAGATCAGACCAACAACCAGCAAGGGTTTGGAAGAGAACTTTTACATTGATGTGACCGAAACAAATGAGAATGTAAAGATGGCCGAGAAATTCCAAACTTTCAGACATACACTTTTATATGTAAAAGTACAGCAAATGCAAAGTGAAATAAGGTCAGATTGCAATTGGTAGCTATTGAACCTGCCTGAATCCCAAACACAATTGCATTTCCCAATAGGAGAGGCGTCGGATGTACCTATGCAGCACACATACAGCTTTCCAAGTGGCTACATTATAAAATTCTCACCCAGCTAAAAAAAAATACACTTGGTGACTGTCTTTCCACTTGAATGACACCAATTATGGTCAGTCAGGGGGAGTCATGGCATCAGTCATCAGTTTTATTAAATGGGTGATCATTTTGGCTGTGCACACTGGGCTCATTATTCCAACAGCTACAACATTCAGAATGACAAGAGACAGCGATGAGGTATTTATATTAGCAGTTGATCATCATTCTCAGAGCTGCAACGTCTGTGGAAAGAGGTTACATGTTAAAGGTGGTACATTTTAGCAAATCATATCCATAGCAAGGCATTAAAAACAACTTCACTTTCCTTACCAATAAGCTTCACCAATACTGCAGCCCTGAGACACAGAGTGTTGTGAAGTTGAGTAGAGTACTTGTGGATTGGAAGGAGGACATGAGAATTTGGTCCATGTAAAATGTTGGTGTTTGTTAAATGTTGGCATTTGCAAAATGCTATGGGGAAAGCAGTGTGTGGTCCTTTTAAAAGATGATGTGCTTTTTCTATGCCTACAGATTCAAAAAGGATGTCTGTAGGTTTTTCACCAAGAAGATGTTCCTGACAGAAGAATTTGTCGGAGAAGACACAGAACGTTCTAGAAGACATAACCTGGCTGTAATTTCGAAAGACTAAATTCTAATTTTTTTTCATTATTTAAATAAGTAGGACTTGTATTTATTGGAACAGCATACCATTATAATTTTATTTTATTTGGGAATAGTTAGTAGTTGGAAGGGTTTTTTTCGGTTTGTTGATAGTTTAGTTAGTTTGTTCACTGTTAGAGTTAGATAAATAAAGTCTTACTAGTTGGTTATAAAGAGAGTTTCAGGGGTTTATTTTTATTTAATCGCTCCTTTATAACAGATTGGGGCTATTTTAACAGATTATAGGGTGAGGCGCGCCTCTCTGGGTGTTTTGGTTTAAGTTATCAGAGGGGGCTCAACCTCTACTTTATAACAAGAGGGATCTTGATGCAAGATCATAGGAAATAGGAACAGGATTAGGCTGCTCAGTCTCTTGAGCCTGCTCCACTAATCAATAGGATCCTGGCTGATCCGACATTCCTCATGTCCTGCATTTCCCTGTAACCCTTGGTTCCCCGATTGATCAAGAATCTATCTATCTCAGCCTTAAATATACAAAAGGACTCTGCACCCACAGCTTTCTGTGGCATGAGTTCCAAAGATTGACAACCCTTGAGAGAAGAAATTTCTCCTCATTTCAGTCTTAAATTGGTGCCCCTTTATTCTGGGACTATGCCCTCTGGTCCAAGACTCTCCCAGGAGGGGAAACATTCTCTCAGCATTTACCCTGTCAAGCCCCTTAAGAATCCGATATGTTTCAATAAGATCACCTCTCATTCTTCTAAACTCCAGTAAATACAGTCCCAACCTGTTTAACCTTTGCTCATAAATCAATCCTTCCATATCAGGGGTCATCCTATAGTGAACCTTCTCTGAGTTAGCTCCAATGAAATGATATATTTTAAATAAAAAGACCAAAACTGCTTACAATGCTCCAGATGTGCTCTCATCAGCACCTTGTACAGCTGCAGTAAGCCTTCCCTACTCTTACACACCAACCCACTTGAAATAAGGGCCAACGTTCCATTAGCTTTCCTGATTATCTGCTGCACAATGTGTACTAGCTTTCTGTGCTTAGTGCACAAGTTCCCCCCAAGTTTCTCTGTGTTGCAGCTTTCTGCAGTTTTTCTCCATTTAAACAATATTCTGTTCTTTTGTTCACGCTTCCAAAATGAACAATTCTCATTTTCCCATATTATACTCCATTTTCCAAATATTGGCCCACTTACTTTCCCTATGAATATCTCTCTGTGAACTGTTTCTATCCCTCTCACAACCTGTCTTTCCACCTATTTTCATGTCATCTGCAAATTTGGCTACAATACATTCGCTTCCTTCCTACAAGTCATTAATAGATATCGTAAACAATTCGGGTCCCAGCACTGATCCCTATAGATCCCACAGGTCACAGTCCACAAGGTGTCCTCGTGTACGAATCAGAAACAGTTCGTATGCAAGTACAGCAGTTAATTCGGAAAGGTAATAGAATTTTCTGAAGAAGGGTCCAGACCCAAAATGTCAGCTTTCCTGCTCCTCTGATGCTGCCTGGCCTGCTGTGTTCATCCAGCTCCACACCTTATTATCTCAGACTCCAGTATCAGCAGTTGCTACTATCTCTAATAGAATGTTACTGGTCAATGCAAGCAGAATTGAATAGCAAAGCATTTTTAAGGGAAGTTATGCTTCAGTTATACTGGACACTGATGAGCCTGAATCTGGAGCAGTATGAACACCTTATTGGTCACCTTATTTAAGGAAGGATGTAAATGCATTGCAGGCAGTTGAGAGAAGGTTTATTGGACTAATTGCTGGAATGAGTTGGTTGTCTTCTCAGGACAGGTTAGGCTTGGAGCTGCTGGAGTTCAGTAGTGTAAGGGTTGACTTGTCTGAAACAAACAAGATCCTGAGGGGTCTTGACAGGGTGCATGTGGAGAGGGCGCTTCCTCTTGTGGGAGAATCTAGAACTAGAATCTAGACTTGTTTAAAAAGCAGGGGTCACCCATTTCAAACAGATTGGCCAAACATTTATCTCCCTGATGGTCAAGAGTTTTTGGAACTCTCCTCCTAAAAAGGTGGTCTAAGTAGAGAACTTCCATATTTTTAAGGCAGAATCAGCCATAGTTTCATTGAATAGCGGAGCAGGCTCAAGGAGCTGAATGGCCTACTCCTAACTCCTAACCCACTTTTTTATTCATTTGTGGGATGTGGGCGTCACTGCTGGCCAGCATTCTTTGTCTGTCCCTAATTGCCCCTTGAGAAGGTGGTGGTGAGCTGCCTTCATGAACCGCTGCAGTCCATGAGCTGTGAGTTGACCCACAATGCCCTTAGGGAGGGAGTTCCAGGATTGTTTGTACTTGTGTATGTGTGTCAAAACTTCCAAAAATTAAACTTGAAGATATCCACAAAAAGATTATATACAATAAAGTGTATATACAACAAAATGTGCCTCTGCCACACTCTCAGACAGTACATTCTAGAAACTAACCACTAACTACTTAATAGTCAAGTAGGTCAATTTTTTTGGAACCATAATTATAAACCAGTTTTGTCAGACAGCAGATGACTAAAGACCTCCTGGAGTGTTAATGGAAGTATGTTTATACTGGGGAATTTTATGACAGGAGAGAGAAACCATTATCCCACTTTTGCGTTTAGAACAATCATTGGGTGTTTATTTCTAAGCTAAAATTAGAGATGAGAAAGCTTTTATCCAGGTTGAAAAGGACCTGACCGGGACTAGAACTGAAGAAACAGTTCAGTCAATGCTATAGATTTGATAGGGAACGGAAATGTTTTAAACTGCATTGTATGTAAAGAGCTCGGGTTGGCTTATTTTATTTTCCTTTCTTTTGAATAACAAATTTCTTTTTATTATTAAAACCAAATCTGCAGTTTGGCATGCTTATATTTCAGTGAAAGACCACCATGCTAAATTGGAAAACAAAATATGATCTATTAAGCCAGATTTAACTTTGGAATCTGACTTGTCCATTGTTAATTTCAGCTGGGATCATAAATGGTGACATTCCACTGCAATCCTGAGCCTATGCTGCATTGTCTGATGTTTACTCTTGTAGATGGGACTTCAATCCAGATGCTCCCTGTCTCAGGTGAACATGAAAGATGTGAGAACCACTATTCAAAGAAGTCAGCATAGTGCCCTGGTCAATATTTATTCCTCAACCAACATCATTGAAACAGAATACAAGCTCAGTACCACAATATTGCTTGTGGGAGCTGACAATATGTAAGTTGACTGCTATATTTTCTACATTACAACCATGACTTTTTTGATTAATTCATGGGATGTGGATCTTACTGGCTCCACCATTTATTGGTATCATAGCAGATCCTCAACCATGCCCATTCCTACCCTCCTTCACCCTTTGACTCCCTTTAACTCCTTGTATGCAGTGTGTCTCCTAAAATGTTACAAGTAACTCTGTAAATGAATAATCCTTCAGCAAGATTTAACAGGTTACGTTCGTCAATTGATCTCACGTCTCCCTTGCCATTGCAGGTGCTCCATACTAATGCATTAGAACAGGCCATTCAGCCCAATGGGCCCAGGTTGATGTCTCCACACAGGCCTCCTCTTACCTCTCTTCCTCTAACCTATCAGCAAAACCTCTCACTCCCATCTCCTGCTTGTGCTTATCTCCCTTAAATGCATCTTAGCCATACCTTATGGTAGTGAGCTACAGGTTCTCACCACTATCTGGATAAGAGGTTCTCTTTCCTGAATTCACCATTGGGTTTCTTTTGTTGCTACCTGATCACGTGGTTACAGAAATGTACAGTAACAAAGAGGCCATTTCACCCATTGTGTCTGTCCTAACTCTTTGTTTAGGATATCCTTGACACTTTCCCATCACTTCCAAATGTTCTTAGTTTGAGTATACAAAGAATTCTATTTTGAAGTTTATTATTGTATCTGTTTCCATGGTCACAAGATTTCAATTTCAGATCGCTCCATTGAATTTAAATTCCACCAGCACTTGGGGCAGGATTTGAACTTAGGTCCCAACATAGTCTGCTGGATTCTGAGCCCAGTGAGGGACATTAGCTGTACACCACCACCACCACACTGAGTGTGGAACACAAACAGACCAGCCTGTCCAATTGTAGTGAGATGAAGCATCATGAAGGCCAGACCCACTCAAGAACAGCCATAATACCTTCTGGGGGGACAATAAACTAAATGGACTAAATCAGGAGGGAGGAAAATTCTGCAAATTCCTCTCATTAGGGGCTTCTTCATTAGTGTTGAAGTAGATGCCAGCCCTTGTGTGCAAGTCCAAACTAAAACCCATCTGGCTCACTGATGTCCTTTAGGGAAGGAAATCTGCCTTCCTTACCTGGCCTGGACTACATATGACTCCAAACCCACAGCAATGTAATTGGCTCTTAACTGCCCTCTGAGACAGCCGTAGCAATGCACTTAGTTCAAGGGTAATTAGGGATGGGCAACAAATGCTGGCCCTAGCAGCAATGCGCACATCCCATGACGAGATCAAGAAACAAACTGGAGTGTTAAATTCCAAGAATGGAAAATCTGGAATTTGAGTTTTAGTCAGCCTTAGTCAACTCATAGTGTATAAGACATATTCAATCTGAATACTGGCCAAAGCTCTCCCACTGATCGTCCCTCCTGACTGCTGTTAAAATGTTATATTCCACAAAGTGCCTGAAAACAGCTCATTAATAATACCCAAGTGATGAGACAACCATCAACATCTGCTAATTATAATCACTGTGTACAAGGCTGATCAACAGCCAGACCAGCATTAAAATGAATAACTCAATCAAAAAGTCAATTGGGATAATTGAGGAGACTAACAGCTCTCAACTCAAAAGCAAACTCAGTTTGTGGAGAGCCAGTGGACGTGGCTGAATTTGCAAAGACTGGATTTTTAAAGCTGATTCTGAAATCCAAACTGGACCAGCTCTGATCACATCCAAATAATTTCCGTTACTTCTCCTTCTCTGATCCATCTGGATCAGGACATTATTGAGCCATTCTGTATAACAGGCCATTCGCATTCACACATTTCCTTCAACTTTCAAACCTACCAGCTCAAGCTAATGCCCTAGTGGTATTATCACTAGATTGTTAATCCACAGGTAATGTGTTCAAATACCGCCATGGCAGATGGTAGAATTCGAATCCAATAAAAATCTAGAATTAAGAGTTAATGATGACCATGACTGTATTGTCTTTTATGGCAACATGGTGACGTGTTGAAATGGCAGGCAACCGGAAGCTCAGGGTTATTTTTGCAGACAGAACTTAAGTGCTCTGCAAAGCTTTCTCCCAGTCTGCGCATTGCCTCCTCAATGTAGAGGAGACCACAGGAGATTGCTTACGCCTTTCCCCCTTCTCCAACACCCCGAACCCCCGCCGCACCCATCGTCAGGGGAGGCGATGGCCCAGTGGTATTATCGCTGGACTGTTAATCCAGAGACCCAGATAATATTCTGGGGACCCACGTTTGAATCCCACCATTGCAGATGGTGGAATTTGAATGCAATAAATATCTGGAATTATGAGTCTTATGATGACCATGAATCCATTGTTGATTGTTGAGGGAAAAATCCATCTGGTTCACTAATGTCCTTTAGGGAAGGAAACTGCCATCCTTACCTGGTCTGGCCCATTTGCGACTCCAGACCCACAGAAATGTGGTTGACTCTGAATTGCCCTCTGGGCAATTAGGGATGGGCAATAAATGTTGCCTAGCCAGCAACGCCCCTCATCCCGTGAAAGAATAAAAAAAAATACACCAACCCCCTTCCCAGATTTTTCTTTCTTGGAATTTAACACTCTAGTTTATTTCTTGAGCTTGTCAAGGGATGTGGGCATCCCTGTTCAGGCCAGCATTTGTTGCCCATCCCTAATTACTCTTGAACTGATGCCTCGCTAGGGCTGTTTCAGATGGCAATTCTGAAGTGGGGTCACTGGACCCAAAACATTAACTCTGCTTTCTCTCCACAGATGCTGCCAGACCTGCAGAGTTTTTTCCAGCAATATCTAGTAGAACACACAAATTAGGTCCAGAGGTAGGCCATTCACCCCCTCAAGCCTACCTGCCCATTCAATAAGATCACATTTCATCTGATTGTGGCATCAGTTCCCACATACCCATCAACTCCCCCATTAGTTAAGAATCTATCTACCGTCACCTTAAAAATATTCAATCACACTGTCCCCAAATGTTCTCCACAGTGAAGACAGTTCCTCAGACTCTCAAACCTCTGGCAGAAAACAATTGTCATCTCCTTCTCCATGGAGACAGTCCTTGCTTTTGAGCCTAAGACTGAATGTTAAAACAGGCAGAAAAGGAAACTCAAAAGTCACCAGTGTTAGGTATTACTTCGAATGGTCTTCCTCCTGTTGGTAACCACAAGCTAAGGTAGCCCTGCTGCTGAAGCATTGGTGTGTAAAGCACCCTTTTGTCTCACTGTTACCTGCTCAGTTCAGGTGTCAGCGTGGAGACTCTCATGAAAACGTGGAGGTCTGTTTGTGGAAATCCATTCAGCTGAAATTTCTGTAACACAAAATCCAACAGGGAGGAGTTAGTAAAACAGACACTTGTCGCTCATATTTACACAGAACAAACAATCGTATGGGGTTGCAGAGGCTTTATAATATCCTTTAGAGAAGGTTTCATTACCCAGTCTGCACATGTAGAGCAGACATGTGACTTCAGACCCAAAACAGTGTAGTTAACCCTTATATTCCCGCTCTAAAAGCTCAGTGAGTCATGCATAGAATCCCAACAGTGTGGAAACAGGCCAATCAGCCCAACAAGTCCAGACTGCCCCTCCGAGGAGCATCCCACCCAAACCCAAACCCATCCCCCTACCCTTTGCCTGTAACCCTGCATTTTCCATGGTTAATCCAGCTAATTTACACACCCCTGGACACTACCGGCAATGGAGTATGGCCAATCCACCCTAACCTGCACATCTTTGGACTGTGGGAAGAAACCGGAGCACCCAGAGGAACCCCACGCAGACACGGGGAGAATGTGCAAACTCCACACAGACAGTCGCCCAAGGGTGGAATCGAACCCCGGTCCCTGGCGTTGTGAAGCAGCTGTGCCAATCGTTGAGCCACCGTGCCGCCCATGAACATAATAAATAGGAGCTGAAACAGATCATTTCAGTCTCAAGACTGTTTTGCTATCCAATAAGATCACGTCTGTTTATGTTCTGAAATGCTACATTCCCATTTAACCCCGACAATCTTTGGGTCCCTGTCTCACAAGATTCTCTGTCTTAAAAATATCTAGTGGGTCCACATCCCCTTCCTTCTGAAGCAGAGAGTTCCAAAGTGTCACAGCTCTCGGAGAGAAATGTCGCCTCATCTCAGACCGAAAAGAGTGACCTCTAAATTTTAACCAGTGCCTTTTAGTTCTGACTTATTCCGAAGAGGAAACATCTTTTCCACATTCACCTTGTCAAGGTTATTCAGGATCATATTCTGTTTAATCAAGTCACCCCTCACTCTTCCAAATTCTACCGGGTACAAGCCCAGACCATCCAATCTATCCTCGTCAATTGAAAAAGGATCTTTTGTTTCCTTTATTCATTCATGGGATGAGGGTGTCACTGGCTAGGCAACATTTACTGCCCATCCCTAATTTCTCAGAGGGCAGTTAAGAATCAACCACATTGCTGTGGGTCTGGAGTCACATGTAGGCCAGACCAGGTAAGGATAGCAGTTTCCTTTCCTAAAGGGCATTAGTGAACCAGGTGGGTTTTTCCAACAATCAACAATGGATTCACGGTCATCATTACATTCGTTATTCCAGATATTTTATTGAATTCAAATTCCACGATCTGCCATGGCGGGATTTGAACCCTAGTCCCCAGAACAATATCTGGGTCTCTGGATTAACAGTCCAGCAATAATACCACTAGGCCATCGCCTCCCTATCAAACTAAAGTAGACTGGATGTATGGCAGCAGAAACAATAAATGGCAAATGCAGTCTGTCATCTGGAAGGACAAGCGCAGCAGACATATGGGAAGACCACCTCCTGTAATTTCACCTCCATGCCACTCACCATCCTGACTTGGAAATATATTGCCGTTCCTTCTCGGTCTCTGGGTGAAAACCCTGAAATTCCCTCTCTAAGAACACTGTGGTCAACCCACAGCAGGTGCACTGCAGCGGTTCAAAAATGTAGCTGCCCACTACTTTCCCCAGGACAATTAAGAATTGGCAATAAATACTGCTCCACTGAGCAATGTCCATATCCCACAAATAAAAATAAAGGGGACAAACCAATAAAATGTGGAAATAATGAATTTGACAAATACCTGCATCTTGCATTCCTGAAAATGGAACGCCAGTTCAGACCAGTGCTGTCATTTCCAATTTTGACTGCTTTATTTTACTGGTTTCAGTGATCTGGAGAAGCTGGGATTATTGTCCCTACAGCAGAAAAGGAGATTTAGCAGAAGTGTTCAAAATCACAAAGATTCGTGACAGACTATAAAAGGAGAAAATGCTTTCAGTCTCAGGAGGTTCAGTGACAGAAAGACATAGACAATGGGCAAAAGATCCAAAGACAACAAGAAGAAAGAGCCATATGAGAACTGTTCTGATACAGTATCCTCAGCGAGACATAGAACATAAGGGCAGGAAGGTGATGTTGAAATTATTTAAGACATTTGTTAGACCTCAGTTGGAGTATTGTGTAGTGTTTGATGCCAAATTACACGAAACGTACGAATGCATTGGAGAGAGTGCAGAAGCAGTTTACAAGTTGGAACTGTTCTCCTTGGAGAGAAAAAGGCCAAGAGGAGATCTGATAGAGGTTTTCAAAATCATGAGCAGGCTGAATAGAGTAAATAGGGAGAAACCATTCCCACTCATAAATGGAACAAGAATGAGATGGCATGGATTTAAAGTGATGCACAAACAAAGCAAGGGTGATGTGAGAAAAAAACTTTTTCACTCAGTGGGTAGTTACCGTGTGGAATGCACTGATCGGGAATTTTTAAAAATTCACTCATGGTATGCAGGCGTCACTAGCTGGGCCAGTATTTATTACACGTTCCTAGTTGTCCCTGAGAAGGTAGGTGAGCTTCCTTCTTGAACCACTGCAGTCAACTTGCAGTAGGTAGACCCACAATGCCACCTGACTCCCCAAAGCCTGTCCACCATCTACAAGGCACAAGTCAGGAGTGTGATGGAATACTCCCCACTTGCCTGGATGGGTGCAGCTCCAGCATTCAAGAAGTTTGACACAATCCAGGACAAAGCAGCCCACTTGATTAGCACCACATCCATCATCGACGCTCAGTAGCAGCAGGGTACAGCATCCACAAGATGCACTGCAGAAATTCGCCAAAGATCCTTAGACATCACCTTCCAAACCCACGACCACTTCCATCTTCCATCACCTTCACCGGCACACCACCCTCTGCAAGTTCCCCTCCGAGCCACTCACCATCCTGACATAATTGGAACAATATCACTGTTCCTTCACTGTCACTGGATCAAAATCCTAGAACTCCCTCCTTAATGGTATTGTAGGTATAAATTACTTAATGTAGCAGTGTGAGGGATTTCTTCACCATCAATGTCTCAATGGTGATGTGGGAATAGGAAATAAATTCTGGACTTTGCAACTATGCACACATCACATGAAAAATTAAAACAAAACTTCTTTTACACAAAAAAGTCTATTGTTGAAAACCATCCAACTGTCAATTTGTTTAATCCTTACCTTAATAGTTTCATAAGTGTCTGTGATGAGGGCAATGAAGAGACTGAGTACCATGTAGATGAACAGGCTGATGAAGGAGTACAAGTAGATTCTGCTGAACAGCCAGAGCAAGTTACTTTTCTCTTGTATTTCAGCGAATGTTGCAAACATGTCATCGCCATTGATGAGTGAAAAAAGACATTCAGCAACAGTGCTTAGCCTTTCAAACTGGGAGGAGAGAGGAAAGAGCAAAGAGAGTGATTTGAACATAACTCACGTGGATCATAAATATTCAATTTAATGGATGGCTGGGTCATGGAGCTTGCATATATTAGCAGTCCTGCATCCTGTACACACAAATAATAGAATACAATTGGTCACATGGTGAACTGAAACCAAATCAGATCAGAGTATGTTACAAAGATAGACAGGCAGGGTTTGTATCCGTGTGAGTTTACAAAAGTAGGAGGCAATTCGAATGAAACATAAAAGATCCTGACGAGTCCTCAAATGTATTTGCCTTTTCACCCCATTCTTGTCATTGGGTACTTGCCTTTATTAACTGAGGCAGAGAGTTTAAGAGCAGGACAGTGATGCTATGACTGCATAAAATATTGGTTAAGCTACAGCTGGAGTATTACGTGCAGTTCTGGAATCCACATTATAGGAGGGATGTGATAGCACTGGACAGGGTGCTGAGGAGATTTACCAGGATGTTGCCTGAGCTGCAGAGTTTCAGTTATGGAGAGAAATTGGACAGACTGGAATTCTTTAGAGCAGAGGAGACTGACAGGGGACAGGATTGAGATGGAGAAAATGACGAGGAGCGCAGACAGGAATTAACTTTTCCCCTTGTTTGAATATCAATGGCTGGGTGGCAAAGGGGCAGGATGTTTAGTGGATAGGTGAGGAAAAGTTTTTTCACCCAGAGGGCAGTGGGAATTTGGATATATGGGAACACCACCACCACAAGCTCCCCTCCAAGCCAGTCACCATTCTTTGATATGGAAATATGTTGCTGATCCTTCACTGTTGCTGGGTCAAAATCCTGGAATTCCCTCCCTAATGACATTGAAGGTCAACCCACAGCACATGGACAGCATCGGTTCAAGAAGGCAGCTCACCCCCACCTTCTTAAGGGTAACTGCGGAGGGGTGATAAGGATTGACCCAGCCAGCAACTGTGCATCACGTGAATGAATTGAAAATAAACACAGAGAGGTCATAGAGTAGAAGTGGTTGAAATGCCCCCTCCCAATTCCACAACACGACAGGGAGACAAAACTGGGCACATGTAGACCTTTCAGAGTTTCCCTCCAGCATGTATCCCCATAGAGATATTCCATCTGGCAGATTTTTGCCCACTCACTTAAGCTATTGATTACCATCTGCAAACACCCCATGACTTCTACAGCACACCTTCCTGCCTATCTTCGCATCTTCTATGAATTTAGTGAGTGTGCGTCTCTTCTCTTTACCTATGTAATTGATATAAATTGTAAACATTTAATGTCTCACCACAGACCAAAGACCCGCTGCAGTGCTCCACACATCACATCCTGCCAATCATACAAGCATCCAAGTATAGATACTCCGTTTTCTACCAGCTAGCCAATCCTCTGTCCATGTAAATATGTTGGCCCCTACACCAAGGGTTTTATACTCCACAATCACTTTTGATGTGGCACTTTGTTCAATCCTCCTGGATATCTAGGTACAGTACATATACATGTTCCCCTTTATCCACAGCACATATTATTCTGCCAAAGAATTCTAATAAATTGGGTTAACATGATTTTCCTTTCCATGCTGACTCTTCCTGATTACCTTTACTGAATGCATTTCTATAACTTCCTTAAAGATCAATTTTAACATTTTCCCCATGGCTGATGTTTCTGTTTCCTATCCCCCACTCCCTTCTTAAGCAGCAGAGTTACATTTGTTATTGCCCAGACTGATGGTATCTTTCTTGAATCTAAGGAATGTTGTAAAATTAATACTAATGCTTCTGCTATCTCATTTCAATCTCTTTTGAGACTCTGGGATGTACGATGTTTGGACCTGGAGACCTGTCTGTCAGCCCACAGTCCTATATGTTTGCTCAGTACTACCTCCGTCATGATTGTAATTTTACTAAATTCTTCTCTCCCTCCTGACTTACAACTATTATTGATTTATTTTGTATCCTCTAACAGTGAAGGCAGAGCAAATTATTTGCCCATTTCATTGCAAATAACAATAACTAACTGTGTAAAACAAGGTTCTCTTCATCTCCTCTTTGGAGAAGATTCCGTTTCATCTGTGTCATCTTATGACCCACCCACCTGCCTGTCAAAGTGTAGCTTCCTGACCACCCCCGTCAAAACCTCTCATGGTTTTGAAAAACATCATCATAGCTCCCTTCTTTCCTGCAAGGAGAAAGGTTCTCTCATTGCTTCACTTTTTAAAATTCATTCAGGGGATGAGGGCATTGCTGCCTGGGCCAGCATTTATTGCCCATCCCCAATTGCCCAGAGGGCAGTTAAGATTCAACCACATTGCTGTGGGTCTGGAGTCACATGTAGGGCAGACCAGGTAAGGATGTCAGTTTCCTTTCCTGAAGGGGATCAGCGAACCAGATGGGTTTTTCCAACAATTGACAATGGATTCATGGTCATCATTAGACTCTTAATTCCAGATTTTTCACTGAATTCCAACTCCACCAGATGCCGTGGCGGGACTTGAACCCAAGTACCCAGAACATTAGCTAAGTTTCTGGATTAATAGTCTAGCGATAACACCACTAAGCCATTGTCTTCCCTTCCCTCCTACAGCTAGCCCAGTGGAAAAAGCTGAAACCATAGCATTCTGGAAATAAGCACCAACCCTCTCAGCCTGCGGAAGAGATTTTATATTCAATGTGTTATTATGTCAGCAGTAATTACCTTCGAATGATATGGTCCCAATACGATCCACCCACAGAACATATAGCCCAGGTAGATCATGCCAGCACAGCAACAGAAACGCAGTACCTTGGGCAAAGCTCCTTGCATTGTTAAAATGAGCACCTGTGAACAGGTAAAGCAGCATTAAACAGAGCATGCATCGCATATCTGGCTGGAAATTTCCAGAAAGTCATTGGGGTCCATTTTTTGTCACAGGTCAAGGTTTTGCATTCCCGGCTGGAATAGTGCAAAGGATTGGATCATTTTAAGAGTGAGTGAGTTATGGCCAAAACCGTTTACCACAATTTTTCGTTCAAGGTTCAACTCCTCAGATTAAGCCCCAAATCTCTCCAACATCGAAATGTCAAGATTCCATTGAACGAGCTTGTTTGAGAAACCTCTTCAAATCATGTTCAGCATCTGAGGTGTCTAGCCAGTAGTCCGCACTTTTTAAATGACTTTTCAAGTTAAAACCCTTAAATTAATTAAGGAATTGTTTTTATTTATTCATGGTATGTGAAAACAGATGTTGCTGGCTAGGCCAGCATTTATTGCCCATCCCTAATTGCCTAGAGGGCAGTTAAGTGTCAACCACATTGCTGTGGGTCTGGAGTCACATGCAGATGGGTAAGGATGGCAGATTTCTCTTCCCCAAAGGATATTAGTGATCCAGATGGGGTCTTGTTTAAAAAACATTCGATAATAGCTTCATGGTTGCTATCACTGAGTCTATATTCCAGATTTATTAATTGATTAGTGAATTGATTACTGAAATGCATCAGTGGCTACAGTGAGATTTTAACCCCTGTCGCTCAGCATTAACCTGGACTTCTGGATTACTCAGCCAGTAACAATACAACTACACCCCTACCGTTATTTATTCAGAATGAGACTGATGTACATCCATAAAACTGTATTTTGTTGGAGTTGATTTAGTAAGTGATTTTCAGGGAATTTAAATCAGCTCAATCATACAGTTGAGGAGTGGAATTATCTTCGGTGATATTTCCACAAACAGTTCCATTTAATAAAAGTGCACCAGATCCCTACCCCTAAATATACCGAGAAATATCTGCTGCTGGAGAAACAGAAGCCATGCCATTCGGTTATGGTGCATGAAGATTTTGAGAAGATTTGCAGCTCGTGTTGTGGATGAGGCTTCATTTTTTTTTTGGTAGTGTGTCCTGCTGATATCTCCCGAGTTGTGTAATTTCTTCAGGGTTGTTTTGGATCCAGTTCTCTAACTGTGGTGTTGGGTCTATTGCCATCTGTTGGTAGCCAGAAGGATCCAACACACCCCGCTTCTACGGACTCCCCAAGGTACACAAGCCAGGGGTCCCCCTCAGACCCACTGTCTCACTACCAGGCTCACCAACATATACACTAGCCAAAGAACTACAATGGAAACTGAGATACTTAATTGACAACATTACAGTCCATCCAATCCTCCCAAGAATTCCTCAACATCAAGGACACTAGGATAGAAGAGGACGAGATAATGATATCCTTCAATGTTGTAGCACTATTTACACCCTTAAACACCAACCTCGACAAAGAGACAATTGCCACACTGCTGGATGAATCAGGAAGGTACACACCCCACAACACCAACAGCATCAACAAAGTCAGCACCCTGAAACTGCTGGATCTGTGCCTCACAACCCCTTTGCCTTCAACAACTGTATATTCAAACAAATCAATGGAACACCAATGGGATCCCTAATATCAGGACTGATCGTAGAAGCGGTAATGCAAAGATTAGAATGGACAGTGCTCTCCACTATTCAAACCAAACTCTGGGTCCGCTATGTGGATGACACCTTCGTGATTATCAAACACACAAAACCAGAAGAAACCCACCGACACATAAACAACATCCTCAAAATTCACAAAGGAAGAAGAGAGCAATAACCGACTACCCTTCCTGGACGTAATAGAGGAACATAAGAACAACAGGGAAATCCAGACCAACGTATATAGAAAAGCCACCCATACGGATGAGATACTTAATTACTCCAGCAACCTCCCCAACAACTACAAACAGAGCTGCATCAGGACATTATTCAAATGAGCCACAACACACTGCAGCAACCCAGAATTGCGCAAAGCAGAACAGGAACGCTTATACAGAGTTTTTAAAAGGAATGGGATACCCAAAATTCACAATCAGCCATAACCTCCATGACAGACCACAACAAGACGATAGTACATGGCCAGACTCATTAGTCACCCTACCGTACATCAGATATATATCAGAGATGACCACAAGACTACTCAGACCCCTAGGTATCAGGGTAGCTTACAAACTAACAACCACCCTGCAACAGCTACTGATGAATGTAAAGGATCCCATATCCACAACCAATAAAACTAACGTATTATACAAAATACCATGCAAGGACTGTAAGAAACATTACACAGGCCAAACTGGAAGAAAACTGACAATAAGGATACATGAACACCAACTAGCCACCAATTCTCACTGGTCTCAATACACACGGACAAAGAAGGACACAAATTCGACTGGGACAACACATCCATCATAGCACGAGCCAAACAGAGACATGCCAGGGAATTTCTGGAGGCCTGGCATTCCAACCCGGAACTCCATCAACAAACACATTGTACTGGACTTGATATACAAACCAGAGAAACAGAACTAGAAATAATGCCAACCACCCCAGCAAACCGAGGCATATAAATAACAAGCGGGACAGAACACCGACGCTTCACCGGAGGCGCATTGACTATGTTACCTAGCAGGGTGACAAAATGTCTACAGCTGAACTTACCGGCTCGGCAAGCAAGTCTACAACCCCAAATGGTGCATGGTTCATGGAGATTTTCATGTTTGTGATAACACAAATTAATTTCAGTGCAAATGTGAAGCCAAGCCTAACTAATGCAATTTCCAGCATCTTCCCAATCAGGAACTCCAGCCCATTATTCCAAAGTGACACTTACATTATATTTCTGGAAATACCCCAGGTATCTGATGACTCCGACCCAGGCAAACAGGGTAGAGGTGCCCAAGAAAATACTACAGACATCGTATGTTGTAAGGTTCTGAAATCAAAAACATTGAGTGATTATCCACCTTAAAAATAGGAAACCTGATTTTGGCAGCAGAGAGAGATGTCCAGGGATACAGGAGGATAAACCATTAAAGGAACATTTAAAAAAAAAGCAAACTAATTTAAATTGCCACTGGGTGTACTTATTTCTGGGAGTAGAGAATCAAACGTTTGTTAAATTTGTGTAGGACTTAGTTAGGGAGAACTTGGAATATTTATTCATGTCTTGGCATCCTTACGGTGATAAATCCAGATGTACTCAAAGCCATTGCTCAGTTACCTAGTGCTCTGATTTCTGAATCAGAGTCCTGGGTTCAAGCCCCAAACCAGGGCTCGAACATTAAATCCAAGACTCCAACAGAGTACTGAGGAGCTGTTATCCGATTGGTATTTGAGGCAGTTTGCAATATGCAAATCAGCTACCAACATTTTGGCAGGGAAATTGAGTTTAAGAGCCGTGAGGTTATGCTGCAGCTCTACAAAACTCTGGTTAGACCACGCTTGGAATTTTGTTCTGAGAAGGGTCACCGGACCCGAAACGTTAACTCTGTTTTCGCCTTCACAGATGCTGCCAGACCTGCTGAGCTTTTCCAGCAACTTTGTTTTTGTTCTTGGAACATTGTGTTCAGTTCTGGTCATCTCATTATAGGAAAGATGTGGAAGCTTTATAGAGGGTGCACAGGAGATTTACCAGGATGCTGCCTGGACTGGGGGGCAGGTCTTATGAGGAAAGGTTGAGGGAGCTAGGGCTTTCTTCATTGGAGCGAAGAAGGACGAGAGGTGACTTGATAGAGATTTACAAAACGATGAGAGGCATAGATAGAGTGGATAGTCAAAGACTTTTTCCCAGGGTGGAAATGACTATTACGACGGGGCATAATTTTAAGGTGACTGGAGGAAGGTATAGGGGAGATGTCAGAGGTAGGTTCTTCACACAGAGAGAGGTGGGTGTGTGGAATGCGCTGCCAGCAGTGGGAGTGGACTCAGATACTTTAGAGACTTTTAAGCGACTCTTGGATAGGCACATGGAGGATAGTAAAATGTAGGGTATGCAGAGTAGATTGATCTTAGTAGGATAATAGGTCGGCACAACATCGTGGGCTGAAGGGCCTGTACTGTGCTGTACTGTTCTATGTTCTATGTTCTACTCCCTGAGAGTGCTGCTGGTAGTGAGTGCAGACCATCTCAGCTATCCTGTGGTTGCAAAAATGACGACTGTTAGAAGCGATTTTAGCAATTGGACACCATTCGCTGAACAACCTCAAATGCGCTCTCAGCTATACCAACAACCGCTTGAAGATAACAAAAACAGAAATTGCTGGAGGATCTCAGCAGGTCTCGCAGATTCTGTGGTGAGAAAACAGAGTTAACATTTCAGGTCCAGTGACCCATCTTCGGAATTCAAGTTCTGAATATTTTATTCATTCATGGGATGATGGTGTCACTAGCTAGGCAGCATTTATTGCCCATCCCTAATTGCCCAGAGGGCAGTTCAGAGTCAACCACATTGCTGTGGGTCTGGAGTCACATGTAGGCCAGACCAGGTAAGGATGGAATTTTCCTTCTCTAAAGGAGATTAGTGAACCAGATGGATTTTTCCCCCAACAATTTGACAATGGATTCACGGTCATCATTAGATTTGTTATTCCAGATATTTTATTGAATTCAAATTCCACCATCTGCTGTGGCAGGATTTGAACCTGGGTCCCCAGAATATTATCTGGGTCTCTGGATTAACAGTCCAGCAATAATACCACTAGGCCATCACCTGAGAATTGACCTCATTCAAACACACCAGATTCTTACAGGGACTTGACAGGGAAGATGTGGAGAGATTGTTTCTCCTCATGGAAGAGCATAGGACCAGAAGGAATAATCTCAGAATAAGAGCTCCCCCGTTTAATACAGAGTGAGGAGGAATTTCTTCTCTCAGAGGGGAGTGAATCAGGGGAATTCTTTACTACAGGGGGCTGTTAAGACTGTATCATTAAGTATATTCAAAGCTGAGATAGATAGATTTTAACGAGAAAGGGAATAGTGATTATGGATAAAAGGCAGACAAGTGGAGTTGTGGATTATTGGATCAACCATGATCTCATTGAATGAGACAGCAGGCTCAATTGGCTGAATGGCCTATTTCTGATCCTGTATCTTTCAGTCTCTATCTTTCATTGGAAAAGGTGCAGAGGAGATTTACCAGGATGTTGCCTGGTATGGAGGGAAGGTCTTATGAGGAAAGGCTGAGGGACTTGAGGCTGTTTTCGTTAGAGAGAAGGTTAAGAGATGACTTAAATCGAGACATACAAGATGATCAAAGGATTAGGTAGGGTGGACAGTGAGAGCCGTTTTCTTGGATGGTGATGGCTAGCACACGGGGACATAGCTTTAAATTGAGGGGTGATAGATATAGGACAGATGTCAGAGGTAGGTTCTTTACTCAGAGAGTAGTAAGGGTGTGGAATGCCCTGCCTGCAAAAGTAGTAGACTCGCCAACTTTAAGGGCATTTAAATGGTCATTGGATAAACATATGGATGATAATGGAATAGTGTAGGTTAGATGGGCTTCAGATTGGTTTCACAGGTCGGCACAACATCGAGGGCCGTAATGTTCTATGTTCTATGTCTCATAATATTCAGTTACCACATTAACGACAGCTAATTTTCAGTAGCCTCTTTAAACTGTTGATTAATATTTAAACTCACCATTCTCCTCCACTGAGATATGCTCTTTTGTACCATTCAACATTCAGCCAAGCATTTCTAATGACCTCACTTATAATCACAGATGTTGGGAAACGACAAAAAACTTCATTAGAACTGCAGCAATAGATGGACTTTCAAAGCTGTACCTGATGGCCTGTCAGTCAAAGCAATCCAGGACAGAGTGCTGTTTCCAACTCAAACTGACAACAATTTTCCATGTTTAAAGGACTGGGGATTTAAAAAACCTTCCAGTCATGATATTTAAACAGGTATTAGCCAAGTGTTAATGAGGATTGAGATGAGTGGGAGATAGTGAGGGAGGACTGAGGTGAGTGGAAGTGAGTGCAGGAGAGCGGGACAGCGAGGGAGAGCGGGACAGCGAGGGAGGACAGAGCGGAGTGACAGCAAGTGAGGGGAGTGCGATAAAGGATATGGAGAGGTGCAGGTTGAGTTTCAGGATTGACAACACATTTGTAAAGGTGACTCCCGCCCATGTAATGCCAGACACTCCTCGCGTCATACCTTGGCTGTGATCTCCATCTTCATGATAGAGCCTGTGACAGTGAGGAGATCACTGATAATGATCAGGATGTACCAACCATTCAGGAACTCCAACTGATCTGATAAACACACTCTCTGACTGTATCTCCTCTGGAAGAACGTGACAAATCTCTGCAACAACAATGATAAAAGTCACTGCCAGATTACACAGTTGTTTTTCACATTACATCTGGAATTTACAAAGTAGAGTCTGTACAATCTGCGTCCCAGTCAATATTAATCCCTCAATCAGCATCAAACTAATTCATACATCACAGAAACAGACCCTGTGGCCCAACTTGTCCATGCTGAGCAAATTTCCCAAACTTAAACTAGTCCCATTTGCCTGTGTTTGGCCCACATCCTTCTAAACCTTGCCTATTTGTGTACCTGTCCAGATGTTGTAATTGTACCAGCCTCTACTACTTCCCATGGCAGCTCATTCCATACACACACCACCCTCTGTGTGAAAAAGTTGCTCCTCAGGTTCCTTTTACATCTTTCCCCTCTCACCTTAAACCTATGCCGTCTAGTTTTGGACTCCCCTGCTAAAAGATCATTTCACCCTCTCCATGCCCCTCATGATTTTATAAAACTCTATAAGGTCACCCCTCAGCCTCCAACACTCCAGGGAAAATTGCCCCAGCCTATTCATTCTCTCCCTATAGCTCAAACCTTCTCTCCCAGTAACATCCTTGTAATTTTTTCTTGTAACATTTCCATTTTAACAACATCCTTCCTATAACAAGGCAACAAGAATTGTACACGGTACTCCAAATGTGGCTTTACCAATGTCTTGGATAGCTGTAACATTACATCGCAATTCCTGTACTCATTGTTCTAACTAACAAAGGCAAGCATACCAAATGCCTTCTTCACCACCCTGCCTACCTGTGACACCACTTTTAAAGAACTGTGTACCTGCGTTCCTAGGTCTCTCTATTCAACTCCCCAGGTCCCTACCGTTAACTGAGTCAGAAGTCACATGACACCAGGTTATAGTCCAACAGATTTACTTGAAATCACAAGCTTTTGGAGCGCTGCTCCTTCATCAGATAACCTGACAAAGCAGCAGCGCTACAAAAGCTTGTGATTTCAAATAAGCCTGTTGGACTATAACCTGGTGTCGTGTGACTTCTGACATTTTACACCCCAGTCCAACACCAGCACCTTCACATCATGACTACCATTAACTCTGGCAGTCCTGCAATGGCTGCTTGTAGGAGTTTTCTGTGATCGCCTTAGCTGCTGTATTTCATACACTACAAGTAAATTTCAAAAACACATTCTATTGCTGTGAAGTATTGCGGGTGGTCTGCGAACTATTAGATGCTGTAGTGAAGGTGTTGGTGATGACTCAAAGGGTTGAATGGCCTGATCTGCTGTTACAGTCAGCGTTCTCTCGTTGACCGGGCACAGACCTCGTGGTGGCATTGCCCAGGGATTCCTGCTGCCAACTGTTGACTCAGAGATAGGAGGAACTGCAGATGCTGGAGAATCTGAGATAACAAGGTGTAGAGCTGGATGAACACAGCAGGCCAAGCAGCATCAGAGGAACAGGAAGGCTGACGTTTCGGGCCTAGACCCTTCTTCCGAAATGTGACTTCAGATTTCTGAAGAAGGGTCTAGGCCTGAAACGTCAGCCTTCCTGCTCCTCTGAGGCTGCTTGGCCTGCTGTGTTCATCCAGCTCTACACCTTGTTATCTCG